TAGTTGTTCTGATAACTTCTTAGTTTTAACCTGTACAGAGGTGACTAATAAAGAAAACACAGAAAAATGAAAATAGGACAATGTAACCATTAAAAAATAAAAGTCCAACCTTTCAAAATAATCACTATTAATATTGGGGAGGTTTTTTGTTTTTGGTTGTTTTCTTGAGACAGGGTCTTGCTATGCAATTCAGGCTGGCTTTCAACTCACTATGGAGCCCAGGCTGGCCTTGAAGTCGAAGTGATTATACTGCCTCAGTCTCCCAAGTGCTGGGACTACAAGGGTGCGCCACCACACCCAGCTTCTTCAAATAAATTTGTACCTCGTTTTTCTTCCTCCCCTTCAACACTGAACTATAAGTATTTCCACATACCATCACATAGCTTTTTTGTTTTGATTTCTTGGTTTATGTTTGGTTTGGTTTTGCAAGGCTGGGGTGGAATGCAGGCCTGGAGCATGCTAGGCAAGGACTCTACTCACAAAGTTGCTCTTTTCCTTTACCTTTTCTTTTCTTGATCTGCTGGGTAGATTCCAAGTTCTTGCATAGGGCTAGCAAAGAGTTACTAAGCTTACACTCGATGGTGAGGGAAAAGCAGCTACATATCCGTGGTCATGAACAGAGAAATGGTGCTGAGATTACCAAAAGGCACGCTGCCCACCAAGAGGATAAATAAGGCCGTTGGGCTGAACAGGGAGAAAGGGAAAAAGAGGCAGGTGACACTGTGCTTTGACCCGGGGTTACACGGAGTGCCCCAAAGGGGCTGTCAGAGCACAGCTGGGTGGAAGGGAAGGAACTCCTCTGCCCCAGCACCCTCTCTGTCCTGCTTCCGCCTCAGTCTCCTGAGTAGCTTAGACTGCCACAGGCCTGAGCGTGTGGTCCCCAAGGCTGAAATAAAGAATTTAACCTACCCCTTCTGTAGAACAAGTTAGTAATATTATAGGCAGCTAAAAGGGAAATTAATGTACAGTCAAAGAGGGACTGGGCTCTCCAGGAAGTGAGCACAAAAACAAAGACATCAGAATTATGGCTGGGACCCGGGATGTTGATCAGTGGTAGAGCACTTGCCTACCATTCATGAGGCCTTGGGTTCAATCCCTAGCAGCACAAAAAGAAAACAAAACAACAAAGAAACTCTTAGACTTCCCCTTCTGGTGAGCCTGGGAGGGGTTTGGGATTCTGTTTAGGCCGGGTGTGCTAGTGCACACCTTTAATCCCAGCACTTGGGAGGCTGAGGCAGGGGAATTATTGTGAATTCAATGTGAGCTTGAGCTACACAGAGTCCAAGGCCAGCCTGAATTACATGGTAAGACTTTGTCTCAAAAAGAAAAGAAAAAAAGAATTGCGGCTGCAGCCGCATCTAAAGACCAGGCCTCAAGATAAAGATACAATATCCGGGCCTAGAAGATAAACTGTAATTCGGAATTATGCTATAATTAGCACCACCTGGTCCAGGAAGTCCAGCTAGGTATCAGTCACTCAGGTGGGTGACCAGAGCGTCGGGACCCGTCCCCTCCCCCCAAAAGCCTTTGTCCTTTACATGTACTCTCACTACAAGGGCCGGGGATGTAGCTCGGCGGTACAGCACCTGCCTGGCAAGCATGAGGTTGTGAGTTCGATTCCCGGTACAAAAATAAATAAATAAATGTGATTTTCAGTCTCACCACATGACTCTGAGATAAGCGATTAGGGTATGGCAAAAGCAGGTGGGGAAGCAGGCATGACCTGTTAACTACAGGATCTGGACACTTGTGCAGAACGGTTTCCAACGCCTTGCATGTGGACTTCTTCCGAGAACTCAGGTTTTCAATAGGATGGCCTAGACCTGATGTCTGCACCGCCTCTCAGGACCCACATGTTTCCTGGAGATTTGCACAGCATAAAAGACACCGAGAGTTTGCTCCTGGCTTTCTTCACAGAACCCCACCTTGCTCTCTCTAGGGTGTCTTTTCATTGCTTTTCTCCTCTTTTACTCAGCCCAAGCTTGCTCTGCAGAGTGTGTCTCTCACTCTCTACTTTTATTTTCTCAATAAACTTGGCCACTGCTCCTTGCTCATTTTGTTCAATGCTTTATTCAAGATGAGAACTTGAACTAACGTGGAATCTAACTCTAGAGAGAGAGGCGAGCAACCCAGAACCCAGTAAGGTTTAGCTGGCGAGCCACTTTTAGAAGGGGCTACTCAACAACATTACGGCAGTCTGCTGCAGTTTCTATGTAGACATCCCCCAAAGCCTCAACTGTTCATGCGTGAGGCTTTGGGAAGGTGCCTGGATCATTGCAGTGTGACATCCATAGGTGGATTAGTGAGTTTACAGCTAAACCTGATGCGGGGTGGTGAAGCCTGGTCTGAAAAGGTGGGTCACTGGGGGTGTGGCCAGGGAGCTGTCTTCCTCCTTCCTTCCTTGATCTCTCTGTGAGCCTTTCCTCCTTTAAAGTGTAGGTGTCCCACCGGGTGTGGTAGTACATGCCTGTAATCCCAGCACACAGGAGGCTGAGGCAGGAGGATCGTTGTGAGTTCGAAGCCAGCCTGGGCTACAAAGTGAGCTCAAGGCCAGCCTGAACTGCGTATCGAGACCCTCTCAAAAAGACAAAAAAAAAAAAAAAAGAAAGTGTAGGTGTCCCGTATTGTGTCTCAGCGACAATAAAAGTAACTAAGACACAGCCCAAGCTGACTCACAGATGCTAACAAACAAAACAAAACCTAAATGTCCTGTGTCACTTAAGGACAGGGGTGTGTTCTAAGAAATGCCGTGTTAGGCAGCTGCTTCTTTCTGTGAGCATCACATGTCTGCATAGCAGAGCCTTCTACATACCTAAGCTATACGGTGTAGCCTTTTGATTCTAGCCTATTAACTTATACAGCATGTTAGTGTACCATACTGGAGGCAATAAAAGGGAAACGTGTACCTAAACATAAAAGCACAGTTAAAAATATAAGTGGGGCTGGTATGGCTCAGTGGTACAGTGCTTGCAGGCAGGGGGCCTTGGGTTTGATCCTTGATACTGAAAATAAAATACAACAAAATAGTAGAAGAGGGCGAGGAGTGTAGCTCAGTGGGTACAGAACTTGCCTAGCATACACAAGGCCCCAAGCTCAATCCCCAGAGCAAAATATAATCATAATAGAAGAGAACCAGACCTGATGGAGTGTAATCCCAGCACTAAGGAGGTCGAGGCAGGAGGATTACACATTCAAGGCTGCCCTGAACTAGCAATACCAACACCAACATCAACACCAACAAACAAAACAAAAATACTGCTACGTTGCCTGGGTTGGGCTTGAGTTTGAGATCCTTTTGCTCCTGCCTGGAAGAGTGCCTGTAATCCCTTTTAAATGCTGTAATGAGTTTGTTTTTGTTGTTATTTTTATGGTGCTGGACATCAAACCCAAGGCCTTGTTATATTTAAGCACTACCTTTCACTTTTTTTTTTTTCCGTACCAGGAATCGAACTCACGACCTCGCGCTTGGCAGGCAAGCGCTGTGCCGCTCAGCTAAATCCCCAGCCCCTCCCTTTCATTTTTCAAAGCCCCTTTCCCCTGACATATTATGAGTATCTCCAAGCAGATGGAAGAGTTGTCAGTGAACCCACGTACTCATCATCTAGATGATAAATCAACATTTGCTACACTTGCAGGACACTTTATGAGCTAACCTGATCATCGTCCTTTTTACCTGATGACAAGGTACAATTGTCCTACAGATAAGGGCAGTGACCCCAGGAGGATTTAATGACCAGACTCGGAGCCTGGCTCCCGCTGTCCTCAGCTCAGCTGTGCCAGCTGACTCATCCACACCCCCTGGGCGTCAGATATTTAACTCAGGTCTGAACAATATTTTGACTATCCTTGGTGATGCAAAGTTTACAGGTCTACACACAGAAGAATCGGCAAGACCGTGGGAAAACCACAGAATCCAAGCCTAACTCTTGTCACTCACAGGGGAATAGTTTGGAGTTTCCCCGGCCTGGAGCCTCATTCGCATTCCGGGTTAGTCATCATTTCCTCCCCTACCTACCTGAGCTATTTCCTCCACCCACTCTTTCCCCTAAAACTGGTTCAGGCATAGAATATAGTTTGTCTCCACTGGGCTTTCTCCTGCCTTTTCATTGGACCAGAGGCAGAGGTCCAATCCAAACACTGCCCTAACCGTCTCCCTGAACGGCTCCCTAAAGGGCTCACTGCTATCAGCCAAATCAAGTCTAGTACGAGCTCTACCTTTCCAAATGCACCCTAATCCCGCATTCGTGTTCTCATTGCTTAGCTTCCATCTTACATAACTGAGGAGCGTTTCCCCAAATATACCCAGGGTTTTTAAACTTTTTTGCCTTTTTTTTTTTTTTTTTTTTTTTTTTTTATGGGTGTGGTATACCGCTCGGTTTTTAAACTTTTTTGCCTTTTTTTTTTTTTTTTTTTTTTTTTTGGTACTGGGGACTGAACCCAGGGCCTTTGCATTGAGTTACACCTTTTTTGTTGTTGTTGTTGTTTCCGGCACCGGGAATCAAACTCACGACCTCGCGCTTGCCAGGCAGGCGCTGTGCCGCTGAGCTAAAACCCCAGCCCCTGCATCGAGTTACATCTCACTCAGCCTTTTCGTATTTTAAGACTGGGTCTCATTAAGTCTACTAAGTGGTCCAGGTTGGGCTCAAATTCTCGATCCTCCTGCCTCAGCCTCCTACCGTGCTGGGATTAGGGCGTGCGCCGTCATGCCTGTCTTTATTTGCTTTCTTCATATAACGCACCACTGTTCCTGTGCAAATACCACACGTGTAAACGCTAGACCTCCAACCACAGCCCATCTCAAACGCCGATTCTTCTAATCAACATTTTGCAGACCCCCGGGCCGATATCACCTCTACCCCCCCATCTGAGGCCCCGATCTTCCTCGCCCTAGCGGAGCTGTCCGGTCTCATCAGCTCCTTCCTCCACCGCCTGAGCATAGCATCCGTGAGGAAAGGGACGTGGTTGTAGTCACGGTGGCCCTCCTACGTCAGAGCTTAACCATGCTTAACTTCGCCCAACGCGACGCCGCCGGCCCGCCCAAAAGTGAGGTTTCACACAGACCCGCACCCGCGGCCGCACACGCGACGCCGGCTTCCTCCGGACACACACGTGTCCCCAGGGCCACAGCCCGGGACCGGCCCCGGGATTCCCTGCCTGTGGGCGCTCCCATTGCAGCCACCGAAAGGGGGTGCTGGTTTATTTAAACCCGCTCCAAGGGAAGTCTGTTACTTTGTCCCTCCCACAGCTTCCACCTGAGAAAACTCTTAAGTGCCACCTTCCTTCTAAAGTGATCTCGCTCGACGGCGGGGAGCTCCAGCGGGATCGCGCCTGGTCCGCCCCACGGGTTCCCCCTCGCCCGCGCTCGCACTTGGTAGCGCCCGCCTCGTCAGCAGCGCCTCTCGCCGGTCTCGCCCCAGCTCGCGCCAGCCCGCGGCGGATTGAGTCGCGTTGCCGCGTCTGCTCCGGCACCTCGCTGCGGACGCGCCCGCCGGCGGCCACTCGCCTGTCCCTCCCGAGCCTCCGCGCCTCCGCTCCTCTTCCGACGCGCGAAGCGGCCGCGGCGGTGCTGCCCGGCATGTATCAGAGCCCGCGGCGGCT